TTTCTCAGACTCTAGGATCTTCCTCCAATTCACGCTAGAATCCAATGAAGAAATAAACTCTGCCCTAAGTGCCACCTTGTATACTGACAGCTTATCGGCCTGGTCAATAGTAATTCCACATGTATATGAAAATATCTCATCACGTAAACATCTAAAAGTAAATTTTTAACTTCTGAACTAAACTTAGTGGCTCAAAGGATGCTTTTTAAAAGGTCAAACTTAAGAATAGTACTGTTTTCAGTACAGTAGGTAAATAAATCCCCATTTTAGCAAAGCTAATTAAAATTTAGCAGTCTTGTCATCCCTTAAAATTTGTTCCATGGATTTAACTTGCAATTTTAAAATTAGGCAGTAAAGAGAAATCTTCAAATAGCAATGCACACATATAAGGCAATTTCTTTTTTCTTTCTTTTTTTTTTTTAAAGACAGAGTCTTTACCCTGTCACCCTGGGTAAAGTGTCATGGCATCATAGCTCGCAGCAACCTCCATCTTCTGGGCTTAAACAATTCTCTGGCCTCAGCCTCCCAAGTAGCTGGGACTTACAGGTGCCCACCACAACGCCTGGCTATTTTCTGGTTTTAGTTGTCATTGTTTGGCAGGCCCAGGCTGGATTTGAACCCACCAGCTCTGGTGTACGTGGCTGGCAGCTTAGCCACCTGAGCTACAGGCGCCGAGTCTTAAGGCAATTTCTTTTTTTTTTTGAGACAGAGCCTCAAGTTGCCGCCCTGGGTAGAGTGCTGTGACATCACAGCTCACGGCAACCTTCAACTCCTGGGCTTAAGCAATTCTCTTGCCTGAGCCTCCCAAGTAGCTGGGACTACAGGTGCCTGCCACAACACCTGGTTATTTTTTGGTTGCAGCTGTCACTGTTGTTTGGCAGGTCCAAGCTGGATTCGAACTCACCAGCTCAGGTGTGTGTGGCTGGTGCCTTAGCTGCTTGAGCCACAGGCATAGAGCCTTAAGGCAATTTCTTAATGATCATTAAAAGTGTATTTGAAAGAATAGTCATGGATTCATCTTAAACCATGAAACTACTATGCCCAATTTTAGTTGCATTTATTCTGGAAACACATGAGAAGGCAAAATCCCACAACTGATGACCACCTACCCTATGAAAGAATTACTTTATTCACAGGAGTCACAGCTTCTCTTATGTCTTGTAGGTTTGTTCTGTAAAGTGAAATTCTTGATCTAAATTTCATCCTGTAGGTTCCAAAACTCTTAAAGGGACTGCTCTAAGGGTGATGTTGTAGGGATACCTACAGACAGAAGAAGAGAAAAGGCCAATATAGACCAGCGTGTAGACAGAGATTGAAGGAAGAAAAGCAAAGCAAAGGAATCTGCAAAAAGACTGGGGGGCCCAAGGGGATAGGAGATCCTCCAAAGGAGAAGGTAATTATTGATGAGGTATCTTTGTGCTCAAAGTAAAGTGTAAAGACTTAAAAAGGAATATGGTATATATCCCTTTAGTGTTCAGCCTAAATGGCTATTTAGAAAGAAGTGTCAGCCACAGATGAAGTGTTCACTACTATTCCTATATTTTTAATACACAAAGTGAAAGGGGTATCCAACCTTTTGGCTTCTCTGTGCCACACTGAAAGAAGAAGAGTTGTCTTGGGCCACACATTAAATACACACCCAGTAATGAAAGCTGCTAAGCAGGGAAAAAAAAAGGTCCGTGCACAGTTTTCACATCCATCCACCAACTCCACAAATAAGTAAAAAAAATCTTCACATAATCTGCTTGCAGCCCCACAGCAGCACCCCTTGGACATCCCTGCCAGAAACCATGTAACTCCAATTAATATGATAAATAAAAAATGCCCATTCTCTTTTCTAATGTACTCTCATCTTCTCTTCCTTCTTTCCAATATGTTAAGGATGCCTCCAAAATGAGATCAGAGATAAAGGTGGGAACTTCCTTCTACAATCACTGATGCCATATGTCCCTGCTCGACCAATCAATAATTTTCTTCATTACCTTCTCTAGTCCTAACCCAACCCCTCCCTTACTATATTAAGGAAGTTCATGGTGATGAACAAGAACATGAACTGACAAAACATCTGCATCTTGCTTCTAACGACAATTAATTTATTCTGCTCTACAAAAAATATCCTCTGCACATCCTTTTTGTTCTTTTTTTTTTTTTGAGATAGAGTCTCACTCTGTTGCCCTTGGTAGAGTGCTATGGCATCACAGTTCACAGCAACCTCAAACTCTTGGGCTTAAGTGATTCTCTCCCCTCAGCCTTCCAAGTAGCTGGGACTACAGGTGCCCGTCACAACGCTGGCTATTTTTTGTTGCAGTTGTCGTTGTTTAGCTGGCCTGGGCCGGGCTCAAACCTGCCAGCCTCGGTGTATGTGGCTGGTGCCTTACTCACTGAGCTATGGGCACCAAGCCTCCTCTGCACATCTTATTTACTTTTTTCAACTCTCTACCTATAGTCATGGATTGTTTATATTTTAATTTTAATGCAAATGATAGTTTATTAAAAGAAAGAATTATGATATTCCTGAATTTGGAAACTTGATATTGCAAAGTCTCTTGGCATACCTAGAAAGTTTGCACAGAAAAAGCTCTTTATACACATATACTGTCAGGAATATCTCAATTGTCAGTTTCTCAGAATTTTTTTTTTTTTTGGAGGCACTGTCTCACTCAGTCAGCCTAGGTAGAGTGTCTTGGTGTCACAGCTCACAGCAACCTCAAACTCTTGGTCTCAAGGGATCCTCTTGCCTCTGCCTTTGGAGTACAGGAGCCTACCACAACACCCGGCAAGATTTTCTATTTTTAGTAGAGACAGGGTCTCACTCTTGCTCAAACTCCTGAGCTCAAGCAATCCACCCACCTTGGTCTCCCAGAGTGTTAAGGTTATAGGCATGAGCCACCACACTGGTCCAGAAATATTTTAATAAGATTCTGAATTATCTCTCACATTGTCTAGCGGTTATACTTTCCCTGATTTAATCAGCACCCTTCTTTGATCCGTAATGAATACTACTTATACAGAAGAGCATTATTCTTTATTTTTAATGCCTGTTTGTTGATAGAACCTAAAAGACTGACTGTATTGATCTACTAGGACAAAGAAAGCTTGAACTTCCTTCTCAGAAAGTAATATATGTGAGAAGACTTTCAGGCAGAGCCTTTCACTTTATAAACATTTAAGAACCTCATAAGAGAGATAAACATTAACCAATGTAATGATTACAATACAGATTCCAAGCATAGTCATCACTTACTTAAAACTTACTGAAAGCACCAGAGAATTGCTACTAGAGAGAAAAATGGACTGCAAGCCACCTTTCTATCATAATTCATCCTATGCTGAATAATACAAAACTCATTCTGAGTTTCTGACAAGAAATTCCACTGTAATGTATGCAATAGATGTGGCAATGCCTTCAGAAGAAATACAAGCTTTACAGTGCATCAAAGAATTCATAGTAGACAAAAAAACTAAAATGAACACCCTATGACTGTGATAACACAGAAAAACCTTCAGAATATAGTCACTGTTTCCTCAACATTAAAGAAATACCCTGGAAAGAAGCCCTGTAACTGTATAAGAGCCTTTTAAAAGAAAACAAACCTTCATGATCAAAAGAGAAATCATACTGGGGAGATCTTGGTATAGAAATGTGGAAAAACTTTAATTAAGAGCAGAGCTCTGACTGACTACCAGAAATTATACTAGAAACGAATGAATGTAACCCTTGAGCTAAACTTACTCAGCACTTACTCAGCACTGGAGAATTCATACTAGGAAGAAACTTGAAAATATTCTACATTATGGAAGGAAAAATAACTCCTGTTTCTGCAGAAAGAGTATTATTTTTAAAAAGTCACACTGGATGGGTAATAAACTTTTAAAGAAATGACTCCAAATATAACAAACACTATAAAGTATGATGCTTTCATTTAACAAACTCCTCTACTGAACAGGCTGTTAGTCTAGTGGAAGAGATACATTCTCGCTCTTGTGGAATGTACATTCCAGTGAGGGAATAACAGACATCTAATCTGTAACTGTTTAACTCGTGACCCACCCCCCATCCTTTATCACCTATTAAGACTCCTGCAGTTTTGATTAAAGTTATTATTTATTAATGCCTTATAATTATACTTAACTATAGCTCTTAGTCTAAAGTCACCCATTTCTGGGAATATTCAAACATCTAAAAGGCATTTTAAAGATGAACCAGTCCAAGCAAAGCACAGAATTAAAAGTTATACATGGATTTCCTACTGAGCAGGGGTCAGTCCCCCTGACCCCTGAGTTGTTCAGGGTCAGCTGCAGTTCTATTTATAACTTAATGTACAGCTATAAATGCCATGTGGGCTTCTGAAGCCTGAATAATATACAAATAATGTCAAAAATTTTAAACATTTTAAAATTAATAGAGTATAACTTGACATTTCTAGTATGTCTTATTTTGAGATACCATAATTGATCATTTTCCTTATTTAAAAGAAATATTGCTAAAACTACTTACATCTGGTTGAATAGCTTTAAATACTGGAACATCCATTAGTGTTATCTGACCCTGAAATAAAAAGTAAAAATGACAACTTCTTCTTTGGAATTCTATGATATACCAAATATTCTAAATTTAAATTATATTATATACTAAAATATTACTGAATATTCAACTTTATAAGGGTTTATAGAAAATGAAAATTTAGCCTTTATACCATTAAATATAATTATTCCCAATTATCTAATATCAATTTTATTTCCTTGGGAGACAAATTAGGTAAAGTTAGAAAATAAAAATTGTAAAAATCTGGACACAGTCATACATTACATACAAATAAAAATTAAAAATCAGGGGTGGCGCCTGTGGCTCAGTGGGTAGGATGTCGGCTCCATATACCAAGGATGGCGGGTTCAAGCCTGGCCCTGGCCAGCTAAACCAGCAGTGGCAACTGCAACAAAAATAGCCAGGCATTGTGGCGGGTGCCTGTTGTCCCTCCTACTCAGGAGGCTGAGTTGGAGGTTGCTGTGA